AAGTATGCCATGCTGTGTACCAGATCTATTGTATACCCTACCCAGAGCGGTCAAAATTATCCTTAGTGGAATAAGGATATGTTTCTCGATTATGGAGGTGACAAAAAGGTTCGTCGTAAAGGGTTACATCGATGCAAGTTTTGACACTAATCCAAATGTCTCTAAGTCTCAATCTGGATACATATTGAAAGTGGGAGCAATTAGCTAGAGTAGCTCCGTGCAGAGCATTGTTGACATAGAAATTTGCAAAATACTTACGGATCTGAATGTGGCAGACCCGTTGACTAAACTTCTCTCACAAGAAAAACATGATCACACCTTAGTACTCTTTGGGCGTTAATCACATAGCAATGTGAACTAGATTATTGAATCTAGTAAACCCTTTGGGTGTTGGTCACATGACGATGTGAACTATATATGGGTGTTAATCACATGGTGATGTGAACTATTGATATTAAATCACATGGCGATGTGAACTAGATTATTGACTCTAGTGCAAGTGGGAGACTGAAGGAAATATGCCCTAGAGGCAATAATAAAGTTATTATTTATTTCCTAATATCATGATAAATGTTTATTATTCATGCTAGAATTGTATTAACCGGAAACATAATACATGTGTGAATACATAGACAAACAGTATGTCACTAGTATGCCTCTACTTGACTACCTCGTTGAATCAAAGATGGTTAAGTTTCCTAGCCATAGACATGAGTTGTCATTTGATTAACGGGATCACATCATTGGAGAATGATGTGATTGACTTGACCCATTCCGTTAGCATAGCACTTGATCGTTTAGTTTGTTGCTATTGCTTTCTTCATGACTTATACATGTTCCTATGACTATGAGATTATGCAACTCCTGTTTACCGGAGGAACACTTTGTGTGCTACCAAACGTCACAACGTAACTGGGTGATTATAAAGGTGCTCTACAGGTGTCTCCGAAGGTACTTGTTGGGTTGGCGTATTTCGAGATTAGGATTTGTCACTCCGATTGCCGGAGAGGTATCTCTGGGCCCTCTCGGTAATGCACATCACATAAGCCTTGCAAGCATTGCAACTAATAAGTTAGCTGCGGGATGATGTATTACGGAACGAGTAAAGAGACTTGCCGGTAACGAGATTGAACTAGGTATTGAGATACCGACGATCAAATCTTGGGCAAGTAACATACCGATGACAAAGGGAACAACGTATGTTGTTATGCGGTCTGACCGATAAAAGATCTTCGTAGAATATGTAGGAGCCAATATGAGCATCCAGGTTCCGCTATTGGTTATTGACCGGAGACGTGTCTCGGTCATGTCTACATTGTTCTCGAACCCGTAGGGTCCGCACGCTTAACATTACGATGACAATTTCATTATGAGTTTATATATTTTGATGTACCGAAGGTTGTTCGGAGTCCCGAATATGATCACGGACATGACGAGGAGTCTAGAAATGGTCGAGACATAAAGATCGATATATTGGACGGCTATATTCGGACACCGGAAGTGTTTCGGGTGATTTCGGAGAAAACCGGAGTGCCGGAAGGGTTACCGGAACCCCCCGGGAAAGTATTGGGCCTTAGTGGGCCTGAGGGGAGAGAGAGGGCAGCAGCCCAGGAGGTGGCGCACCCCCTCCCATGGGGAGTCCGAATTGGACTAGGGAAGGGGGTGCGGCCCCTCTTTCCCTCTCCCTCTCCCTCTCTTTCCTTCCCCCTTCTCTCTTCCTAGTTGGACTAGGAAAGAGGAGTCCTACTCCTACTAGGAGGAGGACTCCCCCCTCCTTGGCGCACCCCTAGGGCCGGCCGGCCTCTCCCCCTTGCTCCTTTATATACAGGGGCAGGGGGGCACCTCTAGACACACAAGTTGATCTTCGTGATCGTTCTCTTAGCCGTGTGCGGTGCCCCCCTCCACCATAATCCTCGATAATATTGTAGCGGTGCTTAGGCGAAGCCCTGCGACGGTAGAACATCAAGATCGTCACCACGCCGTCGTGCTGACGGAACTCTTCCCCGACACTTTGCTGGATCGGAGTGTGGGGATCGTCATCGAGCTGAACATGTGCTAGAACTCGGAGGTGTCGTAGTTTCGGTGCTTGATCGGTCGGGCCGTGAAGACGTACGACTACATCAACCGCGTTGTGCTAACGCTTCCGCTTCCGGTCTACGAGGGTACGTAGACAACACTCTCCTCTCTCATTGCTATGCATCACCATGATCTTGCGTGTGCGTAGGAAATTTTTTGAAATTACTACGTTCCCCAATAGGAAACCCTAGGGGTGGGGGCGCCCCACTTGGCTTGGGGGGCAAGTCCCCCTTGGCCGCCGCCCCCCCTTGGAGATCCCATCTCCTAGGGCCGGCGCCCCCCTAGGGGCCCTATATATGGTGGGGGGAGGGAGGGCAGCCGTACCCAAGTCCCTGGCGCCTCCCTCTCCCCTCGTAACACCTCTCTCTCTCTCTCGTTGGAGCTTGGCGAAGCCCTGCCGAGATCACCGCTGCTTCCACCACCACGCTGTCGTGCTGCTGGATCTCCATCAACCTCTCCTTCCCCTTGCTGGATCAAGAAGGAGGAGACGTCTTCCCAACCGTACGTGTGTTGAACGCGGAGGTGCCGTCCGTTTGGTGCTCGGTCATCGGTGATTTGGACCACGACGAGTACGACTCCATCAACCCCGTTCTCTTGAACGCTTCCGCTCGCGATCTACAAGGGTATGTAGATGCACTCCCCTCTCCCTCGTTGCTAGATGACTCCATAGATTGATCTTAGTGATGCGTAGAAAATTTTAAAATTCTGCTACGTTCCCCAACAGTATCCACGTCGGAAATTTATATGGGTTCTATAGAGTTTTAACACTAAACATAGAGCAAAAAACGTACACATAAATTCTAGTTGTATTCCACTTCTTTTCATGGCTAACCTACGATCCAACTTGCATGTATGGAACATATATGAGAGGACAATATATAGAACATTTAAATCTTCAATGCACAAAATTTACTTAGGAGGTTTATTTAGAGTACGTGAATAGCCGATCACTTGTATAGCCGACTTGCATTGCTAAACCTTGAAGGGTCTTGATCTCCTTCTCTGATCAATCTTGACGCATCCTCCTTCTCACGATAATTCCGTTCATTGACAAGCCTGATCCTCAGCTTTGATATAGGGCTTTTGAGAGCTAGATCAAAGATGTTGGAGGCTAACGTTTGGGCTTGAGAGGGGAATAAAGGGCCATGAGGCATGTGAAAAAGGGTTTGGATGATGGCATACTATTCTGCTACAACTAAACACACGATTTAGATAAATTAGTAGAATCGGACATAGTCCATAGCATAGTCAGGATTCTACAGTTTTGTACATGATTTTATGATTTGGATCCCGACTCAACATGGATTCTACCAGATGCAGATTCAGAGTAGGACTTGGATCGCCATGCTTATGTAGGGTCGTGAAGTCGTAGGATAGTAGGAGTCGAATCAGGATTCTGATTACCTTATCGACGCCCTCAAATTTAGAGATGTCAAGTTTTGGTGGCTTGGCACTTAAGATGTTTCTCCTAACATTAGTGTTGTGTGCTCTTGCTCTTTGCACTTCTTGTCTATGAGCCTCTCTAGGCAATTCTTCCACAACAATTACTGCTCCAGTGTTTGGTCCCATGTTGTGTTGAGGTGTTGCTAACTCTGGCATGTTTGCTATGTGATTTGGATGTTTGTATGGCCCCTTGGGTGTACCATTCAAATTTAGTTATTTTCTCATTTCTTTATTGATGAGAACTGGTGAGCCAACAGTTGCAAGTCCTGGCCTTTTCTACTGCTACTTGAGCTGAAGGCAACTGTTTTGGATGGCCGGGAGGCACTGTGCTCCCTTGGGTAGAATGAGGTGTTTTTCTTCTTCTTCCTCCCCTGTTCGCTCTTCTTCAATCAGTTTTTCTAGAGTGACTTGGATTTTCTGAAATTCCTCTCGATACTAGCAAAATTCTTGTTAACAGTTTTTGTAAAATCATAGAACTCTTTCTTGTCTTCTCGATTTTGCCGCAGGGTCTTGATATCCAACTATAAAGATTCAAGTTCCAAAGACCAGGTGTCTTGTGTTTTTGTTGCCTTGGTCATCAAATCTAGGGGAGGGTTTAGCATCACAGGGAATGATGTACCTCGTCGGGGAAGAACACTTGGGTTGTGAAGGGCAGGATTTTGCACCGGTTTCCCGGCAACCATACCTCAATGACCAACTCCACTGCCACCACGTCGACATCAGCGCCGCCCGTCACCGAAGAAAAGCACTGGAAGGGATGGCTGGGTGGGATTTGGCACTCAAGAATTGTTCTTCGGAAACCACTAACCTTTTTGATCCTGCTTCCGAACTGTCTACTGTTATCGTTAGCTTCCCTGCTTCACACTGCTGCCAAGAAACGGAATCCACATCTGATCTGGACTTTTGATTTGTCGCCTCCAAGGACTAAACGGAGCTATGTATACCAATTAACACGACTAGCTACTTCTGTTAGTGTTTTGTGATGGAATTAGTAGAAAACACGGGAATTTAGGGATGAATTGTGATTGATTTCATTTCAGATCGAAGCAAAGAAAAACTAGGGTTTGCCAGCCGGAACACAGCGGCTTAAGAGCAAAGCCTAGATACATCTAAAATTGTCATCTTCCCTCTCGAATCCTCTCTTAAGTAGCTACAGAAAGATAAAAAGTAAGGAAAGCGACATGATCCAGACTTCCGGAGCTACAGTGCTCACGGTTAAATTTAAACTACATGCGTTACATTGACGAGAGCCTCCATTACGGAAGCGGTCTATGGGTAATTCAAAAAAAAAAAAACTATTGGTTCGACGAAAATGCGCTTTCGATTTTGATTTACGTAACCGGTTTCTCCTCTCGTCCTCACCAGTCTTCCTCCCCATTTCCCCTTCTTGTTCCTTCGTCCCGACTCTTCTTCCTCTAGCCTGATCGGAACGAGGAAGACTTTGAGGGGTTTTGGCCGGCCGGCGATCAGGCTCATCGACCATGACCGATGTATTCCAGGGCTACGAGCGCCAGTACTGCGAGATCTCGGCCTCCCTCTCCCGGAAATGCACCACCGCCGCCTCCCAGGAGGGAGGTATGTTGTGTCCAGGAATCGTCCTCCGATCTTATTTTCCCAAATATTTCTCGCCTCGAGTTTTCTAACGTTTTCTGGCTGTCTTTTGTACCGCGCGTAGAGAAACTGAAGCAGAAGGCCTCGGAGATCAAATCCGGCATCGATGGCGCCGAGGCACTGGTACCCTTCTTCTCTGTAACCAAACATATCTCAGTCCAAACAATTTTTCCGAGGAATTCGATTGATTTATGATATCTCAAGGGAGGGGTTTGTTTTTTGCAACGATCAGGAAACTGTTTACTGTATGAATCTACAAGATAGATTACCTTATGGTAATAGGTTAGTGATTGCGTAATTGTACATGTTGAGAAATGTCTGGATGTGGGTTTCCTTTTCTAGATAAGGAAGATGGATCTTGAAGCAAGGAACCTCCAGCCGAGCGTGAGGGCCGGGCAACTGGCGAAACTGAGAGAGTACAAGTCGGATCTTAACAATCTGAAGGGAGCGTTGAAGAGAATCACTGCTGGTAATGGCCAACAAGGGGCGAGAGAGGAGTTGCTGGAGTCAGGAATGGCAGATACGTTGGTGGTATGTTCCTTATTCTTAATTCATGAGTGGTTTCTTATTTGGAGGTGAGTTAAGTACTGTGATGCATTGAGTGTCTTTTATTACCCACATTTTACTGATTGTTGATGTCAGAAATGGGAAACTCTGATATATATTTGGTTGGTGCTTGTTTCATGTAATTCTCGACCAAAGTATAGCCCCAGACTACCAATCACTAGATAACTCAATCTACAGCTAAACCAGGTTGGCCGGTGAGAAAAAAATATGGAGGTTTCTTTTTCTTTAATACCCTATCAGATAATTTTGCATGGCCCAGATATTCTTTTAAATGCAAATATGCTACATATATTATACAAGTAGCATTTGATAATTTGGACCTCAACATTCAAGAGTCATACACTCACCGAAAAATCCTGCCACTCCTCACATAAGTACTTAGCATATTATAGATTGATATTTGTCATTCTGTCAGTCTGTCCATCTCAAAGAATTGTAATTCACAAATGTTGTCTGAAAGCATACTTTCTCAGTCCATCTGTTATGAATGTCTAGTTAAGTGATTTTTCTCTTTTTCTTTCTGAAGTAGTTAGAATTTCTAATATATGCACATGCTATAGTATATGCTGCCCAGATGATTCTGTGTGATACTCTCAGAAAAGTCTGAGAATATTGAATGCAGTCAACTAACATATCAAATTTGCTTCATTCATGTTTTTGTTGAAGTACGAGGTTACTGTGCTTCCTCCTGCATCTGCATCTTTAGCCACTAACCTTGCATTATTTCACATTTTAGTATTAACAGCTTATCCTTCGACATTGTCTATCAGTATTTTTTTTGTCCCATTAAAGTCCAATGATCTATTGATATTGCATCTTGCAGGTATCTGCTGATCAAAGGTCAAGATTGCTTAGGACAACGGAAAGGCAAAATCAGTCAACTGATAGGATCAGAGATAGCCATAGAACTATGCTGGAAACAGAAGAGCTTGGAGTCTCCATCATGCATGACTTGCATCAGCAGCGCCAGTCTCTTTTGCATGCTAATGATACGGCAAGTAACATTTCTGTTAATTCTCTCTATTTGTCAATTGCTTTGTTTCTGCGCATTATTCATTTTTCCATCACAAAGTATTTGTGGACCCCAAAATAATTCATAGTTTATGCAGGTTGCTCAATGCAAATCATGTTGAATAACTTACCATGTGTCGCCTCTGTGCCTTGATTGTATTGTACTCCTGCTGTCTTAAAATGTAAGACGTTTTTTAACACGTCAAAAAACGTCTTACATTTTGAGACGGAGGGAGTATATTACAAGGAGTATCATCTTCGTCTATAGTCAGTTTACAAGCAAATATCTGTGTGTAGATGGCTGTAAATAAACAGTTTACAGTTTACATATATATATGTATCTGTATGCTTTAAGCCTTTATATATATGTAAACTGTTTACTTACAAGTGCTAGAAGCAGAACCTACCTTACTTTATATATATATATATATATATATATATATATATATATATATATATATCTGTATGCTTTAAGCCTTTTTATATATGTAAACTGTTTATTTACAAGTGCTAGAAGCAGAACCTACCTTACTTTACAAGTCAATTACATCTACAGGTTGTTTACAGTATATATGTTGCTTGAATTTAACTGATTATTTGTTTTGTATTTCTTGTCATTTATGAACTTGATTTCTTCTTTTCATTCTTAAGTCTCCTTATTCATGCCTGATGGAGCAAGGAACCGAGGATCATGCACATTTTGGAAATTTGTGAATCACTGAATTCAAAAATATTTTTTGAGAAATGTCCAGAAAATACTTTAAGTCAAATTGAGCTTGATGAGCCACTCTATAACTTCTATTCATAAAATACTTGTATTGTCGCATTTGCCTACCCATAACTTTCCTCAATTCTGATATACCCACAAGGGATTGTTTGGATGGACATGTATCAGCTGAATGTTTTGTACAAGTAGCAAACCTAAACATTTTCTATTTGTGGGTTATCAAGGTCACTTCGGATTGTGGCAGTATTTTTGCAATCTGACCTGATATTTTTGTTTGATGCTAGTCTGCTAGATGTAGAGTTATCCTTTGGGCAAATCCTTGTATGTCGGAAAAACATAGGTTGCATCCTAATGCTTTACCTAGGTTCTTTTGTCCCCTGTTCCTAAGAGCCCTATGTTTTATTTGTGCCTTAGTGAACTTAACTTCTGTAGTGGTATTCAATCATAACAATCAAACACCTACAGTACACATGTTTGTAAGATCACTCAACTGTCATGATCCAAAATGTAAGTTGTATTATATATTTGAGCTGCTAGTGTCTTGTGTTTTCTAACCTACTTATTTGCAATCTTGATTGGCTTTTCAGTTGCATGACGTGGATGACAACGTTGGCAAGAGCAGAAAGATCATGGGGGCCATGGTGAGAAGGATGGATAGGAACAAGTGGATTATCGGCTTGCTGATAGCTCTTCTTGTTTTAGCGATCCTAGTAGTCCTGTATTTCAAGTTTGTGCACTGAGTGATTCCTTGCCATTACCATATGACTGCAGTTTTCTATGCCAACTACCTCTACATTTTTAGTGTGTTTCACACTTTTCATGTCATTTTTTGTTTGGTTTTGCAGAACCATTTAATGTGGCCGTGTTTGTTGTTTTTCCTATAAAAAAATGTTAGATGATTTGACATCTTTGTAGATAAAGCAGATGTTTATTACGGATATACACAATACATGAGCAGTTTGGATTTTGAATTTAAAGTAGTTACATTGTCAGAACTCAGAGGGTGAAAGGAAAGCTGAGTAACGGAGTTGAATTTTTCTATTTATCTCCCACAAATAAATTTTTGTTTGTCAAGTGTAGTTTGGTTCGATTGGTTCAAAATTTCCACAGCCCCTTTTTGAGAATAAAACATTTTACAGTGATGGACTATGAGCTGTTTGTAACTTTGTATGGTGCTCCACACTTCACATGACTGTTTTTGACAACAATCTCCAA